CATTATATGCTTACATAATTCGTAGCTTCATCATCTGGCCTCAATGCATCCTTGTGATTCTTCATTCTCTCTATTAGATTTTTATAAAATCCAAAACAATAATATTCATTTTTGGTTATAAGTGGCTCTAAAATAAACCACAAACATTGCTGTATGATTTTTAAGTGAGTTATTAACGTATGGCTAAAGAACTCTGGATCGTGAGCAAGTATAGGAACAGCAAAAACTAACATATAATCTGGTAAAATATGAGGAAGTTTACCTAATAATAAATATAATGAATACTCGAGAATTTATTTTATTTTACGAAAAATACAATTATACAAGCATGTAATCTTACCGACAGCTCGTTCGACTGTGCCCAATGATAATGTTTTAACATAATCCCTTCTTTTGTTAATATCTGTTTGCATATAAGTTTTCATCAGTTGTTTTAATTTTTTATTTTGTTCTTTTCCTGCAAGAGCATAATAACCCATAAAATCTAAAGGTAAGCATTTGTTTGGTATTCCTCTACCCAGTCCTTTGTGTAATTTATTACTAAACGATTCTCTCACTTGTATAACGTCATCCTAAAAAACATTTAATAATACATTGAAATAATTAATCTAACATAAGCATTAGCGTTAATAATAAATAATTTTATTTTTACACAAATTATTTATTTATTAATTTTTACTTCAAACTAATATTTATTTCTAGCTTATTTCAACATTTATTTGAATAAATACTGATGTTATGCAGTTTTTAAATTTTATTTTAATTTAATTTGTAGGAAATTTTGAAATGTTGAAAATTTGAAAGTATAAGCATTAAAAAGCTGAATTAATCACACATTTAACATATAACAACGCTTTACTCATATGTGAGATTTAATTGTTAAACAATTTCAAATAACATTAATTATCGTAATAGTAACGATTACATTTTCACAGAATAAAACTAATTTAAAATTACCTATAAAAACATCTAACGAGATGAAATATTATTAAAGTACAATCTATCAGTTTATATATGTAAGTAAATTATTTAATATAAAAATTGGTATTGTATAACTTACCACCATAAGCTGAGATAAGTTGTAAAATTGCTCTGCCGTGTATTGATCACCAACTCCTTTTTGTTCACAAATTTTTAACATAGAACATCCAGCTTGAAGTCGGAGCCAACTCATTTCTGCTTTACTAAGACGTCCTTGCTGTAGTAGATCGCCTTTATTTACTATGAATGCATTTAACATTCTGAATGTTTTTTGAGCCGAGAGAACATCGTTTTTCAGACCTAAAAGCCACCGGGCCATACACTTCAATCCTTCTAACCTGCAACGTGTTTCCTCGGGTAGCTCATCCTCTCTACACCATTCAGCGTCATTTTCTTGCTGTTGCTCACTACTTTCTTTAACTAATAACTCTTTAACAATCTGAAAACAATAAAATAATAAAATATCATACAAACTGCAAATATTTCTGATAAATGTTATAACATTGTTATTGTCCTTTCTTAATTTAATATTGAATCACATAGAGTAGATTTGTAATTTTAAACAAAAATTACGCAAAATGCATTTACAAGTATTTTAAATTATTTTCCGTATAAGTTAAATTGAGCAGATTCTCACCTTTCTCGAAACCATATTTTTAATCTGGAGATGATATTTTTCAGGTAGATTGTACGCAATATGTCCAAGCGCAACGATAGCCGTACGATAGTATTCGGATGCGGGTGTAAGGGAATTTTTTATTTTTTCAATAATTTCTGGAAAAATGGTGTCATGACTATTAGTCATATTGACGTATAAGCATCTGACGGCCTGTTTAGCTTGTTTAGGTGTACCAGATCCAGCAAAAGCTTTACAAATTGGCATTAATTGATCCATTATGTCAGGCGCCACATCACAGAGTGGTCGATACTTCCCCAAAAATGTAAATATTGAAAGTACAAGCGGGGCAACCATTTCATCATCCAATTCCAAGAGATGTACAAGTTGCATTAAAATATCATCGTGCAAAAAATGAGGCGCGAACACAAATGATAACATCTAGACGAATAAAATATTAAGTGGTTAACGTATATTAAGTTTCATCAAAGGAATCACGAAAATTAAATCACATACCAAAAGTAACCTGAGTCCTTTTTCACCTGCATTATTTGGATTTAAACCAACTTCTTCTATTACATTACCACCTTTTAAACAGTCGCATACGTATCCTATTAATACCTATGGACAATGTGCATAAATATAATATCACAAATACGAAAACTCAAGCAAATAAACAAGAGTATTTCTTAAACCTTAAATAATTATTAAGTAATTTTTGCTTATTTGCGAATATTAATTAATGCTAATTTTAAATTGAAAATTAACTATTCTTCATGAACTTTGAAGTTTCAACAATACTTTAGGAACAAAAAAATTAATTAGTATTAATTAGAAAGTCTCAAAATATTGGAACGTAACTATTGGATTATGTTAAAAAAAAATAAAATTTAGTATTCGCAAATAAATGACTTTATAATGAATAAGTCAGCACTAAACTGTGAATTTACAAGGAAGGCTAAATAAAAAATTCAGTAATATAATATCTTACTCGTATCGCTTCTTCGTCGATCATTACTGAACTAACTCTCTCTAGTAACATCTTTATAGTGTTATAATAAAGATTGGTCATGACCGGTTGGCCCAACTTTTTCAGGACTGCACTAATTGCTTCTGCGCAATCTTTACATGACACTTTTGGTTGCAATATTGTCTCCATGCCCTGCATGAGAGCTGGATCTTTCTTTAGATGTGCACTGAACTTTTGAAGAAATTCTTGCACCTTCATAGGGTCAGGTAGGAAACGAGAAATTTGCAAAATCTTTTGAGATAATTCAGCACTATTTCCCGATTCCGTTCTTTTGATTATGTCAATCCATTCGGCTACTGATCTTCTTACACTAAATAAAAAATTACGTAAAATTATAAAAAAAGAATAAAAAAGAATGAAGAGTTACGATCAAGCTGTAATTTTTTATGCAGTAATTACATTTAATATTGTTAGTTTAATTAAAAATGCTTGACAACGAATTGTATTTTATTTTATTTTATTTTATTTGTTTTTAATTCAATTATATTGTGCAGATAAATGTAGTAATGTATAATGGAATAATTCTGTTAGTGGGACAAATCTTATGTATAATATATATATAATATATCTAATGGTCTTCGAATATCTAAAAATGAAGTGACTTTGATCACTGTTTATTATCAAACTGTTAAATCAAACAGTAAAGAAGAAACTTTTTAATTTCCCACGCGAGAAAAAAAATATTTTCAATCAACAGAATTAGAATAAGATTTTAATAATAAATTTTTAAAATTCTTTTAATGCTACTTCGCAATGAAATAAAATTAATTACTATAAAATTATAAACTGACACTATAGCGTTTACTTTTTATTTTGCTTAAGTAATTGAACGTTCCTCGTATTATAATTATTAAAAAAAACTTACGCTAACTGATGCTTTTGAAGCTCAACGAAAGCTTTGGATGCGTGATCATCTATCGTACCCAATAAGTGATACAACTTCTTCATCCTGTCTTCTGCCGGTGATTGATAAGGCACTAGGCATGTATTTAACAATCTCTCCACCAATAGTCTATCTTCCATCCCCGCCATATAATATCCATGCAGGATTTTATCCTTGATCCACGTAACCGCTTTTTTTGTGGCTTGTGGCACATCTGCGTCATTTAAATGTTTCTTATAAATCATTGCAAGACCAGACATCGCTTCCTTTCTAATTTTAAACTTTTTGTCCAAAGTTCTTTCCTTCACAAACTCTAGCAGATCTTCGCTGTCTGACACGACCTCGAAGTCCTTGCGCGCTGTTGTACCAATGGCCATCACTACCTCGTACCTTAAAATTAAAATTTTATTTTCGACGGTAAAACTTTGTAAGGATTATAAAAATTGCTTATTTTTATGTTGGCTATTTTCACACGGTAATGTATAAACGAAAGGAGAAAAGAAAATTAACGACATACCTTACGTTCTCGTCGGCGTCGTGCTGTCGCATTTTAAGTGTGTCGGTGATATCTTTCCGTAACTCTGGATGATTTAGCAGGAAGTGCATTGAGTATTGTACACACTTAATGCGTATCGACACGCTTATATCGTTGAAACGTCCAAGAAACGCGCGCCACAGTTGCGGATGCTGGACAGCCAATTGCGATCCTTTTTCAGAAAACATTCGAGCAAGGAGGGCGACTGCGCCAAGGCGTTCTTGTTCATTCGACGACTTTAGTTTACATTCAAGTTGGGGTAGGACGGACAGCAAAACACTGGGGCATATGTGGTTCAGTTCATAAATTAAATCGTATACCTTGTTGCAGATTTGCAAGTTCTTTTCCTCTTTGCCCAGAATGAGTACGTGATTGAAGAACTAGAATATTAAAAATACACGAAACAATGATTAAAGTGAACTATCGATCGCTAGTAAATAATACTAAAAATCATCGATTTTTTCTATTTTAATATTTATGATATATTTGTGTTCTTACGGCTTGAATATAAGTCTCTAAAGTGTCGCTGCATTTTATTATAAGTTCTTTAGCGAGAGCATACGCATTCTTTCTATGATTTTTATTTGGTTCAACAATATTAATAAGTATTATGTCTAGTAATTCATTGCTGACGATATCGGATTCAGTAATAAGTGGACATAAAACGTCGAGCATAAAGCTTTTAACTTTACCCGAGTGCTCGTCACTAAAACAAAACAATTGAATTATTTAAACGAATTTTATATGTCATTGGAAATTTTTTTTCATCAAACCGCCATACGTACTTAACAATTTTAAACATTAGCGAAAACAGACCACAAAATATTTCTTGACAATCTTCCAACTCAAAACACATATTGAAAGACTTAACATAAGCCAAGTTTTCAAGGAGATAAAAGTATCTTTTAAAGGCTGGATCTTTAGGATCTCTTAAGCCAGCCAACTGTTTAATTAAAAAAAAGAATATAGTCTTGACCTGCAACAAATATTAACATGTAGAGTACATTGCATGATACAATAATTAAATTCAATTAAATACAATTGTACAATTTACAATAAAGTGTGCAAATTGAATTGACAATTATACATTTATATAGGTTCAATTACAAATACATTGACTTTCTTTTTCACAAAACCAATCCTTACGTTATAACGAGATTAATTATTAAAAGTTAACAAGCTTGTATCGAACAAATTTTTATCTAACGATGAAGAATTAATTTTCAAGATCTCGATAGATTCCTTCAATTTAATAATTAAACTAAGCCGTTATGACCTATATAATATTTAAATATAAATCTGAGAAGTATAAAATTCGTCTGCAATATTTAAAAATATGTCGAATCTCTATGAACGACGAGATAAAGGATGTACATAATATTAAATAGATAGTTTGCACTAGTTACCTGGTCAGCATCTTTATATGGAGCTTCTGGAGCATAAACTCTCAGTACATCAGCAATGCAACAAGCAATTAATAGCTGTACATCCTTGCTTGTATGCTGTAGGAAATAATCTTCAGCTAAATGCAATGCTAAGGGAATATATTGTTGATATATTCCCTCATCTTGACCCATCGCTTGCAGTGTATGAGCAAGTGTCTGTTGCAATAATATTTATCGTTAATAATTATTTTGTCAGATTATTCAAAATTAGCCATAATCAATATCACCGATAACCAAAGTCCCACATATATTTGTATATATGTATTACATTAAATGTATTAATTTTCAGATGAATAATAGTGCATTTATTGTGTCCATAAATCAATGTAATTAGTACAATTATATTTTTTCATTGAATAACCAAAAATATAATTTTATAGTAAACAAAGTTTTTATAGTACACAAAGTTATTTACAATATAAATAAAGTATATAATTATTAACTTATGCGTATATTGTTCAAAATATGATTGTCGTTGATACAAACATTTATTTGAATGTCATTCGAGATCAAATAAATACCTTGAGTCTTCTTATGAGCTCATCCGGTCCAAGATCATCCGTGACAGGTCTACACCCTTGTGGGTATACTATTTCCGACATATTGTCTGATGTACAATTGCAATTTTCACAAATATTAAATTATCTCAATAGATCTCTAAAATACTTTCCAAATTCTGCAAAATAAAAAACTTAATTTCAATAAGAATATTTTGCTGCCACGGTAATAAAATTATTCAGTGCAATTTTTTTTCTACCAATAGGAAATCAAATCAATGGATTATTAAATGTTAAAAAGTAATTTAAAGATTACAATAGATTCTGGGTAAAAGTACCAAAATGACTTAAAGTTTTTATAGATACACCGTTGTTTAATTATACAGTTTGGGACATATGGAAATTAAATAACGTTGAAGTCATTTTCAATTCTAACCAAATCATCTCGTTTATTCATTTCGTTCCTCAAAAGTTAGAAAAAATTATACCAATTATGTCCATTATGAATGAACAATACTGTTGAAATTGTTGAATTACTTTCAATATCAGTAACACTGAATAGGTTTCTTTAAAGAGCACATAGGTGTAACGAATAAATTAATCGAATGGTTGTTACGAGCAAGCAAACGTGTAACTTGTCAAGCTCACAGATGTTGCAAATGCACAAGCCACTAATGATCAATAATGGGTTAATTATTACACTTGAGATGAAGCAAATGAGAAAACTGTAAATGCCATTTTGTACATATATAATAATGATTTTCATCATTTTCTTTGACAATGTTTAGACATAATCGTGGTGCTCAGCGATAAACACGAACTCAATTTTCATTCTAAGGTCCTAGGAGAATGGTTAAGAAAGTGCGAGAGAATACATAAAGTATAGGGCATATACCCATCGTGAATTGGGGCGAATCCATTACAATCACGAGCGACAAGAGAAGCTACCGCAACGTAATCAGGGGAAGTTAAGGAGCAGTTTACCTTATCCTCGTCCCCTAGCCCCTCCCGCCACCAACTGTCCCGTCACTCCTCGTCCCCCTAAAGGATACAAACTGGACGGGGATCGAATACTCGGCGTCGAGGTTATGTCCTCTCGCGCCCAGTCCCGAGAAAGTTGGCCTACGTGTAAACACGAATGTTCGTTTGCACGCACGCACGCACGCACGCACGCACGCACGCACGCACGCACGAACGAACGAACGGACGGACGGACGAACGAACGAACGAACGAACGAACGAACGAACGAACGTAAAGCAAAACACAATAAATAAATAAATAACTATGTGAGAGGCTGGTTTTGACGAACGAACGAACGAACGAACGAACGAACGAATGAACGAATAAACGGACAGACAGACGGACAGACGGACAGACGCACGCATAGGTAGAGGGGCGCGCACAAACACGGGGCCCCATACGTGGCCCGCGGCTCCGGGTATCGCTCGTGGCCGTACGCAGAAACTTGTCCGGCGTCGCATATTTACCTGAGGACGAGCATAAGGAGAGACGGCCGCCGAGGAGCTGCGTGGCTTGGCACTCTTCTTGGGCGCGGGGACGCGGGCCGATCGCTGCCGAGTGCTGTGGCTGCGGTCGAACGCGCGCGCGCACGCGGCCAGTGCCGCAGGCTCGGACTTGGACTCGGACTCGGGCTCAAGCTCGTACTCGAGCTCGGGCTCGTACTCGGACCTGGACGCGGGCCTCGAGCACGCGAAGAAGTAGGCGCACAGGCGCGTCAAGTACGAGCGTCTAGTGCGCTGCCCTTGTCGACGGACAGCGAGCTGGAGGTCTAGGGCGGCGAGAAGCGCGGGCTGCCGCGAACTCAAGAAGGGTAGACTGTCGCCGCCGGAACGGAAGCTCTCGGACACACGAGGCGCGTCTCTCGGTCTCGCCGTCGTACTCGCTAAATGCGAGCGCCGAGGCACTGGCTACTTCTTCCTCTTCGCGCTATGGCTCCGTCTGTGGCTCCTGCTGTGGCTCCAGCTACGGCTGCGACGATAGTGGTGATAGCGACGGCGACGACAGCGGCGGCTACTTCACCAGGTTCCGCGCTGTTGGCGCTTGGCATCGTGTCCGGGACGAGTGCACGCAACACCAGCACTCGCTATCTCGCTCCCTACTTCTCTACTTATCTCCGTCTCTGTCTCTGTATCTGTCTCACTCTCGCCTCGTTTTCAATGCCCTCAGCTGTAACTCTTCCAACTTGGCGGTCCTCCTGCTGCTGCTGCTGCTGCTGCTGCTGCTGCTGCTGCTGCTGCTGCTGCTGCTGCTGCTGCTGCTGCTGCTGCTGCTGCTGCTGCTGCTGCTGCTGCTGCTGCTGCTGCTGCTGCTGCTGCTGCTGCTGCTGCTGCTGCTGCTGCTGCTGCTGCTGCTGCTGCTGCTGCTGCTGCTGCTGCTGCTGCTGCTGCTGCTGCTGCTGCTGCTGCTGCTGCTGCTGCTGCTGCTGCTGCTGCTGCTGCTGCTGCTGCTGCTGCTGCTGCTGCTGCTGCTGCTGCTGCTGCCTGTTTCGCTCGTTCCTTGTCCGTCGCGTAACAGACCCAAGCCGCTCTGCGAGGATGTTTATCCTCGCTCCCGGTGTACAGTTATAAAATCGTGTCAAAGGACGCGACGGTAGCTGCAGCGTCGACACGACCAACAACACCACGACTGCGTGCACCGTGCACCGCGCTGCGCTCTACCTGCATTTCATGATACTCTCACGCACATTCGCGTTTTTTACTCGATCGCGGTCCTTGTCGCGTAATATAGTGGCCTCGCGTACTCTCGTCCCAGTATATTACCCGGCGGACCTTTCTTTAGAATTTCGTCAAATTCCCACAGTCTCGCGGCAAACGTTCCCTTGCCACCCTATATCCCGGCTCCCACCTCCCACCACCACCCATCAACCATCGACCATCCACCATTCTCCATACACCATCTACCATCCATCATTCACCATCCATCATTCACCATTCACCATTCACCATTCACCATTCACCATTCACCATTCACCATTCACCATTCACCATTCACCATCCACCATCCACTATCTACCATCGACCATCGACCATCGACCATCTATCATTTACCATCTACCGTTTCCTCCCCTCTCCTCCCCTCCCTTCAACATCCCGCCTCGCCCCCACCCGTACCGCTAACCGCTTCACGCTTCCCGTCGCTCGCTCGATCTAGTATCGCAAACTCCGTGCGAAATTCGCTTTATGCACGAGCAAACGCTCCTTCTTTTTCGAAACTTTTCGTTCGAGCCGAGTCACTTGGAATCAACGACGACGTGTGCCAGCCGACCCTTCGCTCCATCCCTATTACTACTTACTTACTTACTCATCTCTACGCAATTGCATTAGACTCTACTTATTATTAACTATCGGCCGCGTATTTGTATTTCTTTACTCGCTCGCTGTCTTTTATTTACAAAATAACGAGACCCACGGCACTCTATATCACTGTAAATCCATAATTATATTTTACTCGGACCGATCGCTACCCCACCCCCCTTTCACACACACTCTCTCTCTCTCTCTCTCTCTCTCTCTCTCTCTCTCATTTTATTTTATTTTATTTTATTTTATTTTTCTCTCTGCTTGTAATATAATTCTCCTTTATGTTTATCGGCATTTGTAACAATTATTTTTCAGACTCTGGTGAGAAAAAGGAACGCCCAACTTGTATTTTGCTCAATATATTTAATGCATCGTTATCATTATTTCATTAGCTAATTTAATCCAAGTTTCGTTACGTTCGATGTACATTAAGCGAGACAACATCTCGATTCGATATTTATTAACTTCACCATTATATTGTAAGTCATTTTAAAACATTGAAACTTTTCAAACGGGTAATTACGTAGAATATACTTAAAACGCTTTTAACGTATTTTCCACTTGTTTTCAATTACAATTATGTTCACGGATATTCTAATATACATACAGAGAGACTAGAAAAACTTAAAAACCTTATCTAATCTTTCACTTAAGAATTATAAGTGATAAATTAATCCCGTTATCTTAAATCATAAAGTTTTTGGATTTTGTAAATATCTTTACAAATTAAACAACTTTTGCAATTGATCGAGGACCATTGCCGTTACATTACAACTCTGAACTTTATCAAAACTTATTGTTTGCTTTCATATTTTAAGATTTTAATATCTCCCAACACGAATTATTCGATGATGAATTATTGTTTTAAATATTACGGTTAATAGTAAACACGAACAAAATATCAATTTAACTCTTATAATTACGCATAATTATTATGCAATAAATATATATATATATATATATATGCGTGTATTTTTTCTTTTTTTACTCAAACATTACCAAATATTGTTATGTAGACCCTTTTAATTTCATTTTTATTCATCCTGAGAAAATAATCTTTGAACAACTAATTTGAATAGACAATGAAAAAACCATGTCAATTTTAAAAATTGTCCTTTAAATTATAATAAAGAAATTTTTTTTTTTCATTTTAAACAGCCAAGCAGGCATCGATAGTCTCTAATAATTTACAAATAATGACTCCAGATTCCATGCAATCGCAATGAAATTAAAGTTGACGCAATTAATGATTACCAACTTTCTAATTAAACAAATAATACGCAGGGCAATTAATTGCAATTACACGCGATTCAAGGAAAAATACATAATATTATTTAATATAGTTTCGTTAAAAACATTTTTGTTTCTTTATTGCTCTTATTTAATTAATTGTTGTATTATATTTATGAAGTAATTTTTTTTTTTCAAAATTATTCTTAAATTTGTATTTTAATAAATTGGTAAAACCATACAATTTGTGTATGATTTCCAATCGCTTCATCTTCTATTTTTTAATTAATTATTTTAATCGTATTTAACGAGCTACAGCTCTTTTTTTTTTCCTTTACAAATTAATGACTAAAAAATTTGTTAATATAAAACGCTTCAAAGTATAATAAAACATATCGCATCATTTCACACATTTTTCTCTTTATAAAAATTTATATATGTTTTATGTTATAATTTATGTTCTTTGAATAGATATTGCTCGCAAGATATTAATATGCTGATAATTTATTTTTCTTACGCGACCGTTTTCATCGGAATATCGCTAAATACGGGGATTATAATAATAACATAAGTTATACTACATAATAATTACTGTGACAAATATAAGTGTTGGTTTAAAATTTTGATTTCAAACTAAGGTAAAATATGTATTATAAGATATACTTTTTATATATTCATCTGATATATTGAAAAATCAAAGTTAATGTGAACAAAAGGTCAAGAAATAAAAATGAGTTTTATTTATAAAAAAAAATTGAACATATTCAACTCTATGAGATTAAAATACGAATAAATTTACCCATTAATTATTTTTCTTAAAGATATTGGAATATTTTTGAATTCTTATTAAAATAAAATTTTTTTTTAAATGAAATACCAATATAGATTTTATAAAAATTTATTAAAAAAATTTATAATTGTTATTTTGTTACATTATAATCGCATAATGTATATATGCATATATATATATATATATATATATATATATATATATGTGGTTTATATTTTATAATTTATTGAGAATAGAAAATTTGATGAAATAACTTTTAAGATTTTTATTATTTTTAGATTCATTAAATCATGTGTAAAAATATTAAATTTTATTACAGAAGTATTGACTTAATTCTTTTTATTAAAATTAATAACACATAGATCATTACATTCAACTATAATATATATTTAAATATTATATTCGCATTATTAATTATGTCAAAAATATACATCAATATAAATAATATTGAATTTACCAAAGTCGCGTTTTACTTCAACAATTCAATCATTAAAATTAATGTTAAAGAGACAACAAAATTTTTTAAATTGCCTTTTGAATTAAAAAGTATAATATGGTCACAAAATTTACTGCTCTTCGTGTCAAATTGACATAATATTCGTACAATGAATAATCACGTAATCTTCAATTTATTGGATCTTCGCTAATCTCCACTCACTATTTATCATTTAATATTTTAATAACATGAATATTCAACAACATAAAATATTTTCTTTCGATATAAAGTCTATCCCAATCCATTTTAACATAAAGTCAGTCAGTTTGTTTCAGTACAAAGTCTATCATATTTTATTACTAGAAATAACATTTTTTACGTAGAACATTTTTTAATTTATCAATTACTTGCTATTTCTCATTATTTATTTAAAAAATCAATTCAAAAATCATCATAAATAATTTACTCTATGTTTTTATTAATCCATATGTAAGATATCAAAATATAACTTCTTTAAAATTAAAATCCAACCTCTTTTTGATAACAAAAAAATTCTTAATTCCGGCTAATGTTATGAAGTAAGTATTACGATTTATGTATGCAAAGGCCATTCTCAATTCCTAATATCTTTTCCAGGAGGTTTATTAAATTTTATTAAAATTCATGATTTATTAAATAGTTCGTAGTTATGGAATTCTATGAAATGTTACGGTTTTTATAAAATATATTATCAACATTTTATATAATAATAAGATATTGGGTTTTGAAAAGTAAAACGACATAAAACATTCGATTTATTGAAATATTAAACATTAACAAAAAAAGAAAAAAAAATTTTTAAAGAAGAAAAAATCGTTCCTACCCAGAGAACTTGTGATTATTGATTATTTGAAATATAAATTACAAATGTAATTTGTAATCTGCCATTAATGTAAAAATTATTTTCGTAAACTTTGACATTTAATTAATCTTTTCTTCATCTTCATCATCATTATAATCTTCTACTTATTCTTCTGTAATTTCCATAGAAACATCAATTTATCATTTATTATACCAATGTATAGCAAAAAATTTCTGTAAATAAAGTATCTTTTCTCATTTAAATTGTTTCATTATCTTCTTGAAAGAAATTATTAATTATTGTTGAAGGATTTAATCATTTTATCATCGATGGTACGTTTTCGAAAAAATACACGAATACATAGATCTGCTTTTATTTCGATTTCATTATACAAATTTTATTTAAATTTTATTCAAACCTACCGCTTGCATTACTTTTGGCTGCACGTTGGCTAAAGTTCAAAAATGTTTGAAGGATTCATAAATTGTAAACTCATACATCACATACGCACAAATGCATGTGTAATATTCAATTAAGTGTGCAAAGGAAATTTACTTTCACAAACGCCCTCGTTAATAATGGTTACTTTCTTCAATTTGTTTGTTTGTTTGTTTGTTTGTTTTTTTTTTTTTTACTTATTTTACTTATTTTATTCTATTATTAATAGTATAGAAACGTGATATATTTTATTTTATTGCTTCACGTATAATAATTATGTCATGATGCACGAAAAGTCTAATACGAATGTCTCATTAATGTTATAATTAAAGTAAAGCTTTGAACCTTACTGGTCATAAACATTAAATTAACGTGAAGTCTTATTAAACACGATTAGACATTAAGTATAAAATTATAATGCATCGTTAACTTATCAAGTTTTCGTTCATTTAATAATCCATTATCGAATATAGAACATGTAAAATCTCGATTATAGGCGGATTTATCATTTTGCAGAATGTGCGAAGCCTACAACCAATCATCATTTCTCCAAGAAAAAGGAAATATCCATTTTGCTAGGTTATGTCCGTAGTTCTTGGACACTATCAGTGGTAGCAATCACCACCACTACAGTTTAACGATAAACGATGCTTAGGAAATATAAGCAGCCGTGTAATTTGTAATTTCTAGCTTGCGGCACTGGTGGTAGTCTCGTGGGCTCGGCTCGACTTGATTAACTCAAGGTACTTTACAGTCGAGTCGCAACAATGTCGTTTCCGCACAATGTTTCCAGCATATTTTAGCGATCAGGAGTGAGCGTTTGCACGGAGGTAGAGGAAATAAATAAATAAAGTGCGCGCGAGTTAAACGACGTGAATTTAATGTGTGCGAAGAAGTGCTTGGTAAAGTACGAGATGAAAGAGACATAATTGATACGGCATTCCAATTAAATTGCTGGAGAAGCATGACGCACGCCTATGCTGTTAAGGAACTTTATGCAAACGGAGAAGCTAATATTTCACAATTTGCACAGGTAATTGCAATATCATAGAACTTATGTGCAGTCAACAATATATATATATATATATATATATATATATATATATATATGCATTAATAATAATTAAGCAAATGTATGTGCATGAGTGTTATTAAAGCAAAAGTGCTTCATTCTTATCGATAGTTTTTAAGTAATTAATAGTTAAAAATGCTTAGCCTGACATATGAAAGTCTCTTTTGGAATGTTAGCGATAAAATTTCTTTCAGCAAAGAGAGAATTATGGATACTTGTGTAAATAAAATTAAAATATTGTTTATAATATATAAAGCTTTAACAGAAATATATCATTTATCGTTTATCGTTGAAAATTCTTGACACATTGATAGCAATGAGTTATTAGTTGTCAGAAATCCAAAAATTGTCTAATACTTGAATACGAATACATTTATAAGTAAAATAAACTGTAACGATTAATGCAGGATTAATTGTTAAAATTTTGAATAATTTTAGGGAAAATTATGTTAAATGCTCGTTTATATTGAAATCGATCTAAATTCAATACATGCTCTTATTCACTTTTATATTATATATGCTTAGGCGTATAATTATCTTGATAAGTTGTCTTAATTATATAACAAGGTAACTAGCATTGTAATAATTTTTTTTAAAAACAGCTGTAATGAACAAATTACAATGGCAAACGGAGGTGGAAGTTTTATAAGCAAACCAGCAAGGGGCTGGTTGCATCCCGATCATCTTGTTAGTAAAGAAGGAATTACGTATGCCGTTCGCGTAAGTTTTTATTTTTTATGTATAAATATATGAATCGTGGATTGAAAGATTAATCGTTTATAATTTTTCAGTATATTGGCTGCTTGGAAGTTTATACATCTATGAAAAGTTTAGATTTTGAAACAAGATCGTGCGTTGCAAAGTAAAGTATTATTTAAAAGCTAGTGGTTTTCAAAAGTATTAAAGATTTAATAAATTATTCTTCTTTTTCTTTTTCTTTTTTTCTTCTTTCTCTTAGAGAATGCATCAATAGAGTTTGCGAGGCTGCTGGATTAAAATCAGCTGATAAGAAAAGAAGGGTAAAACAATATCAGATTTGATTAATTAATACGAACATTATCATATAATTGTTACGTGCTTTAGGTTGATCGAAAAGTTTTAAGAGCGATTGCAGATAAACCATGTATGGATCACGCTGGATCAAATATTAATTTGACAATTAGCAGCTGTAGCCTTGCATTGACTGTCCTAGAAACTGGTCAAGTCATAGCAAAACATGAAATGCCCCGTATCTCATTTGCCTCTGGTGGTGATACAGTTAGTACATACAATGATTTCTTATTTAATAATATTACAAAAGACTTGCGCGCTATTTATATTTGAAATATAAATTATAAAATGGCCATCCTTAAGTTACAACTTTGATAATCTTATAATAATAGTTGATTTAAATTCATTCTTTTACTGGAAAATTTCTTAAATATAAAATAATTAACAAATAATGTAAGAATAATTTAAATTTTAAGGAAATTCTTGACTTTGTGGCTTACGTTGCCAAAAATGTGCAAGATTGGAGAGCTTGTTACGTATTGGAATGTGGGGGTGGTTTAGCACAAGATGTTATTTCGACTATTGGCCAGGCATTTGAATTACGATTTAAAGAATTCCTTACAAAACCATCTTCGTTGCAGTAAGTTATTTTATTTTAAGTTTAGTTTCACATTTTATATTTATTTAATAATTTATTCTTACTGTCTATTGTTCTTCGACAATAGTTGCCGAGTTTATATTTAGCGCAACCATTGATTATCTATTAATTAATTTTTAGTCCAACGTTGAATGGCTTAAGGGAAGCAGATCGAGATTATTATAATGATTTGCCGGGAAAGATGCCGCCGGATATCGGTCCTCCTCCAGTTCCACCTTTACCAGTTTGTTCAACAACTTTACCAAATTTAAAGCACCATCATTCTAATTCAAGTAGCAGTGGAATAACTACCAGCGCTATACAAAGTACACCACTCCCTGATCCAGTACCAAAAAGTGCAAAACAGGCGCAACAGTGGCCGGGTAATTGTTCCATAAGCACTATGATATTTGCAGTTAGAATGGATGATTTTCGTTTTTGAAACTAAATCTTTATTGTTCCTTTTTTTTCTTTTTCTTTTTTTTTTTACAATTCGCTTGATCTAAGCATTAGTTCATTAACATTACATTAACACTGCTGCTTCTAAAACATAAAATATCGAAAACAATTTATATTCAAAATTGTGTTTAAAAATAAGTTTAATTTCATTTTTTTTTTACTTTTTGTAGAGACTGGAAATTTGATAGATCTAAGTTCCGATGGCAGTATAGCTTCCAGTGCCAATTCAGAACATAATTATGTTAATGACACCGTGATTGCGGCAAATCGAGATAATCGAAGGGAGCCTGCGGCTTTCTTTGATGCTTTTGACATGCGTAAATTAATTTATTTAAAAAAAAAAATATATATATCTATATATATGTATGTATAGATAGATATATTGATTAATAAAATGTTTAAAATAACTTTTATAGAGCCATTTAGTACAGCCATATCAGAAATGAATAAATTAAGTCCACAAACGCAAAAACAACAATTAAAGCAAGAAGTTTGGTATCATGGAAGTGTTAGTCGTTCTGAAGCAGAATCTATGTTAACAAGAGTACGCATAGTAGTAGCTGATAAATAAATAAATTATCAATATATTTTCAAATCTCTTTTTTTTTAATAATTAATAAAATTGAACTATTCGTTTCGTAGGATGGTGACTTTTTAGTTAGAGAATCCCAAGGTTCACCAGGGCAATACGTTCTTACAGGAATGAATAACGGAATTCCCAAACATTTATTGCTTATTGATCCCGAAGGAATTGTAAGTAGCAATATTGAGGTAGACGTGAAATGTTTACCTTCTATCTATGTAAATTAAAGATAATCATTCGTCCGAACAATTAATTGGAAAATGCTACATTTTAGGTAAGAACTAAGGATCGAGTGTTCGACAGTGTTAGTCATCTTGTGAATCATCACTGTGATAATACACTTCCAATTATTTCGGCAGATAGCGCGTTGGTTCTCCGACATCCCGTGCCAAGACGCACATCATATTAAATAATTACTATCGTCTACAAATACAAAGAAACGCTAGCGATTTAAACGATCAACTTGTTTGCGAATTTTATCTTTATAATTTTATTTTTGTATTATATTCTGTATGTAATATACTTGTATGTCAAATGTAGAGTAACCAATTTGGAGGGAAGAAGATTGCGATATTCCGATATATATTTACAATTTATATATTTCAATTCTGCTTTTTAATTTCATTATAACGAGACAAATGTCTCTTTTCTTTTTTAATATTTTTATATAGCGTTGGACGTATTTCATTCCTTTATCGATGTGGTAAATATGTAACAAAGTACCTATTGTTTTAAATGTGCCTCTATGTATGTATATACATGCATACGTATATTGTGTATATGCATTTACACGCAGCGCTGGCATGCATGCAGAATGTTAATTGTGACAAAAAATTTCTACAGTTTTATGTGGTACATGATTTTAATTGTTAATAAAAATAAAATACAATTTATCGCACTTTTCAAATTGTAATAAAATCTTTATTCTATAACACTTTTTACAATTTTTACGATTAAAAAAACTTATATAACTTTATACATTAACATAGTAATATAAATACATTTTTAATTTATTCATTTACAAAAGATTTATCTACAATATTCTTTGGGATCAGTACAATTTGCTTAATAAGGAACATTTACAAAAATTTCCTTTTCAAATAACAAAGGAAAATAATATATCACCCTTGATTTAATCCAGGTCCATGTAGCTCGATAAAACTTTCCAAGCAACGAGGAACGTTACCACAATACAAAAGATTATAAGCCTTTACAGCTTTCGCTGCCATACATTTTAAAGACAATTTAGTTTGCGTTCGAAGAATAATTTCTGCTACACCTAAAACAAAGATAAGTAAAGTTAAAACTGTAACTCTTGGTAATTAAAACAATAAAAATAATAAATACTAAGACATTAAGTTTATTTAGAATTTCTTCTCATTATTAAATTTTAAAAAAGCTGTACCTGTTGTAGCTGCGTCGAACGGAGTTTTTCCCTGACTATTTACAGTATCCATGTGAGCGTCAGCCCCAACAAGATCTAAAATTATCGAATGTAAGGTCATAAAATCACTTATTGGTTTTTCATATTGAACAATAATATGCAAAGGCGTGTTTCTTTCGTTGTCCATTGCATTAACATCTGCTCCACATTGTATTAGCAGTTTAGCCGTTGTTGCGCATGGAAATCTAATAATGAATCGGTAATGTAACAATCACTTACAATTTAAACATTCATCGTTTCAAATACTAATTTCCTAAACTTACTTGCAAACGTCATTCGTATGAAAATCATCAACAGGTGTATCTGCATTTACCGCTAAATGTAATAGGGTTTGACCATCTTTCAAGGCCATTTTCAGAGCACACAACTTGTGAACTAAATAATGTGCTTTCTTAATGTCTATTTCGTCATAACCTTTCTCATTCAATGTCATTAATTTTGTTAATATTGTTAATATATAAAGCGTCGTTGTAATATTGGACTCGACTTCTTCCTGTAAACAATATAATAAATATACGAATTGACGTTGTTATATTTATTAGATATATAATAATAATATAAATATTTTTTAATAAACAATATATAATGGAAAACTAACGGAAATGGATTGATCGCCATCCTCTTTTAAATCAGATTCGATTAATTTACTTTGATTTTTTTCTAATTCAATAACGCTTGCCTCTAGAACATTTAATACTTGTAGGAATTTCAGCTCTACTCCAACGTGGATCATTTGTGAGAATACCTAAGAAATATAAGTACAAATGTAATAAATTATAATAAGAGATAATACAAACAGAATAGGACATTCTCTATTGCCATATTATTAAGTGTAATCGATCAAAAGGTGCTCCAATGATTAATCCCTACAAGTTTTAATTATGGTAATATTTACTTGAGAAAATCGTAGCAGATCCTTTGAAATTGACATATTATTCATTTGCCGTAAATGTAAAGCGTGTAGCCATAAATCTGTGCACCTGTCAAATCTTGCGTTATCTGCGAATACTGCTCCTCTATAAATTACAGGCTGTGGCAATTCTGAATTATGCCTTCCTAAAATTAGTATGTTTTATATTTTTAAATGACATTTAATGGTAAAAAGTTAATTCATAATTTATTTAAATTTAAAATCGATAAATGAACAAATAAGTTAAATAAATATCTATAAATTATGTTCGCTTTAATATAGTATTTTTATCAAGTTTAATACCTGCGCTAATAAAAATAATGCATAAAAATAATTGATTTGAGATATTGTTTTGTTATGTACATATAATAAAAATAAAGGAACATCTACAAAAAGGCAAATAATCGAACTTGAATAATTCTAGTTTACTCTAACACTGCATAGTTTGAATAATAATAATTTTTAAATATAAAATATACGATATAATCGTTTTAAAACAACAAAGTTAACAATTATTATTTTCAAACCTAATATTCTTTCCCGTATTGTGAGGGATTCCATATGAATCGCATTCTGATTATTTCTTATGCTCTCTAGCCTTTCGATACTTTCTGTTTCTCGCCAGTTTTCATACGCTGGGATTGGCTCATTCGGAACTTTATATATTATGTTATTTGGATCACTAAATCTGAAAAAGTGTAATTCATAAATATTTTTCTACTTCAGTAGAAATGTTCGCTTACAGAGAAACACAACGATTCTTTATTACCGTATGTAATAATTATACGCAATGTACTGTATGAAGCTTAAGTGCTATTAAATAATAAATAATTTCAAAATATACACAAATTTTGTTTGAATTGATTTTTAATGAATTTTGAAATAATAATCGTCCAGCGAAAGAAAATTTTCAGTTTACCTCAATGTCATGGCTTTGTGTAAATAAGTATATGCTTTTTCAATGCAGTAATGATCCTTGTCATTTGCGAACGAAGCACCGAGGAGCTCGTATGCTTCGATTACATCTTCCTTAATTAAGTCTTCATGCTCAATGAGACATTCTACGACATCGGCTCTTGCTCTTTCTGCGGCCGAAATTAAAGGCGACATGTTTTTGATATTTTTTGACATTTTTGAACCATATTCAAGTAATTTTCTTACTATATTACAGTGTCCACATTCAGCGGCAAAGTGCAAAGCTGTTTCGCCATATTGAGCCTTTTCGTTAGTATCTGCTCCATTTTCTAACAGAAAGCTTACCTAAAAATTCATTTACAAATACGTGTACATACAACGAGAATTAAAGAATTATTACAATTATTTAATTGCAAGATAAATATAATTTTTCATTAGTTGGTTGAATTTACAATATCAATGTAAGTTGAAACTTACAATATCGAGATGACCTTTGTAAGCAGCGATCATTAGACAAGTATTATTGTGCTTATTTGCAATATGAATATTCGCAGAATGATTTGTTAAATATTTAACAATATCCAGTCTTCCATCGAAACAAGCAGCTCTTACAGGTGTTGAATTTGTTTTGGTGGGATGATTCACATTTGCACCTGCCTTCACCAGTGTTTTTACCACACTTAAGTGTCCGACACCTACAAGTTTTAATATCTATTTATAACATTAAAATTGTAACTAAAATATATGACAATTTTTTTTAAGCGTTACTCTATCGATCGAAGAAATAATATAGTTTCGTGGTACTTAGTTTGAAAATTTTACGGAGGATATTTTTTGTTACAAAGAATAATAAACAATAATAAGTTCTAAGCGTGTAATATAAATGAAAAGCATGAACTGACAAATGATTTAAAAAAAAAAAAAATGTTTTACCAGCGGCGCACCAAAGAGCACTGGCACCTTCGATAATATAACCATCAAATTTTACCCTTCCTTCTTGTTCTATGTCTAATTTAAATTTATCCAAAAGCATTTTGACGACTTTGTTATGTCCAAATCTTGCAGCTACTATAAAAGATGAACAGCACTGACCATCTTCTTGTAGTACTTTCTAAATGTAACAAAAATTTAATATCTTTGAAAACAAGTCAACTTTAAGATATCATAATTTAATTATATTTAAAACACATACACACAAAGGCACACTTATGCGTATTATGTTGTTTTTTCGTTTTTCGTATTTCGTATATGAAATTGAATTTCCTGCACTAAAAGTATGGTTAGCCCCGTACATAAATAAACGTAATGAATAATACGATGAAAAAGAGAGTCGTCGCACATTAAGTCTTGAAACTTTTTTGTTTGGGGACCTCTACGCAAATAATTATGGCTTAAAGCCAAATTCTTAGAAATTCTTAAATTGCCGACACGTGTCTTGAACCTTGCTTTGTTTTACATAGAGGTAAAGGACACTGGAATATGCCCTCATTAAAAATGAGTCAATTTTAATTATATTTATAATTAGCTTGAATATGGCACGGTATAATGTGATACGCCTTCCTTTACATATTATCATTATCATTATCATTATCATTATCATTATCATTATCATTATCATTATCATTATCATTATCATTATCATTATCATTATCATTATCATTATCATTATCATTATCATTATCATTATCATTATCATTATCATTATCATTATCATTATCATTATCATTATCATTATCATTATCATTATCATTATCATTATCATTATCATTATCATTATCATTATCATTATCATTATCATTATCATTATCATTATCATTATCATTATCATTATCATTATCATTATCATTATCATTATCATTATCATTATCATTATCATTATCATTATCATTATCATTATCATTATCATTATCATTATCATTATCATTATCATTATCATTATCATTATCATTATCATTATCATTATCATTATCATTATCATTATCATTATCATTATCATTATCATTATCATTATCATTATCATTATCATTATCATTATCATTATCATTATCATTATCATTATCATTATCATTATCATTATCATTATCATTATCATTATTATTATTATCATTATTATTATCATTATTATTATTATTATTACGGCTTTTATATCTTAAGCACTGGCAATGAAATTATACACGTGCGTAATATTCTAATATAATGAGCAGCGAAATACAATGAATATTGTCCAAATGTCAAATACCCAATTATAGCGTTGACTTTATGTAACATTAGAAATTTCGATTCATAAATAATAACGAAAGGGCGAAACTTGAAAGCCAATGAAATTTCTTCAAATACACTTTAACGAACCGTTTAAAACCCTGCAGCTTTAATTGCCTATAACAATTCTTATTGGTCAATGCAATCGATTTTATCTATTTTTCTATATTTGGCTAACCGCTAAACTATCAATAGATTATTTATAAATAACAGTTAACCAACTGAACTCATTTGCACCGCTTACAAAGCAACAAAGTACAAAGGAGCTTTGTTCTTTTCCTTAACAAATAATTGTAAACTCACAGTTGAAGAGAGACAGAGTTGTTGGCTTCGATTACCGCGAATCAATCAACAATCATTTGCTCTCATGATCTCGACGTGGCAAAATCGTCGACAGTTTTTGACGAACAAAAGAAAAAACACCGATACGGGACGCGTAATGTGGCGATTTTCGATGACAGTTGAGTGAAAGTGGAGAGGTAAGGGGTAAGCCGAGAGCCCTGGACACTTGTCATCCTCGTCAATTCAATGCCCGACAATATCAAGTAAAAAGACATCGCCCGTCGTCCGTCGCTCTTCGCTCGTCGCTCTTCGCTCGTCGCTCGTCGCTCGTCGCTCGTCACTTATCGAATGACCAAACTTGGAAACGAGGAGGGCCCACGCCGAGAGAGCTTAATCCCTCCGTTGCAAGGTTGCGAAATCCCAGCGCAAACACCCTTCCTCGCAAACTCACCTGGCTAATGAGCCGACTGCTGTACTCCGGTTCCTTATTGTTGAGCATTGCGTAGAGGGTGATGGCCATGCCGTCCCTCGCCGCGTAGTAAACGCGGTTCATGAGGGACACGCTCGTTTCAGTCTCTTCTTCCATCCTCGGGGCGCCGATGCCGCTGCGCCGACGGCAACTGCTCCCGCGGCACCCGTTACGACGGCGAATCCGCGACGCGCGTGTCGGCTTGCCTCGACTCGAGTGCTCGAGCTACCTCGAGAGAACGGACGGTCTCACGGGGCCCAGCTTCCCCGAGGTTCCGCTCTAGAGTGCACCGCTCGTCTAGATGCCCAACTAGAAGCCCAAGCCCAAGAGGAACGCCACTGCCCCTCTCCCGCGATCTAATAATAAGCCCCGCTCTGTCCGCCACCACCGCCGCCTTCCCCGCCCCCTTCGCTCACGATCACACGTGTGGGTGTACTAAGAGTGTGAGTGTGGCGCGAGGGTGGGAAAGATTACAAAAAGATATTGGGACGGCTGACGGGTACTATGACGAGTACGGACCGAGTAGTTGTCGAGTACTCGGGTCCATTAGTGAGAGCGCGGGTTCTGCGGATTCTTGAGCGTGAATCATCGTCGTTACCGTCGCCACCATCGCCGATAAACCACCTCCTCCAACCCTCTCTCACTCTCTCTCTCTCTCTCCCACTCTCTATCTCTCTCTCTCACTCCCTCTCTATCCCTCTCTCTCTCTCTCTCTCTCTCTCTCTCGCCCCTCCACTCACTCTGTAAACTCGGTGAGCGTGACGTCGCAGCAAGAATCACGAGCCAGCCGTGTCAGCTGTGCCGCGCACTCGTTCAAATGTGTACGTACGTACGTACGTGCGTGCGTGCGTGCGTGCGTGCGTGCGTGCGTGCGAGCGGTTTCAACGATTATTCATCGTCGTAGTTGTTAGTATTTGACAATCCACGAGCATTTACTTTTTATATGATAGCACAACTCTATTTTGTTTTTTTATTCAAGGAGACGCAGTTTAATCATCTTAGTTGTCCTTAATACAATCCTTGAAATCCTTGACTCTTTTTATTTTTGTACTTTTCATCCTAGTCTTTGAAAAGGAGAATATTATCTTATTATAGCGCTAGTAATATGACGTATGTTTTTTTCTTCATTTCATGTATTTATTCAAATGGAAAAAAACTCTACATTCGTCCTAATCATAATTCTCCGAAATGTATCTCAAAATATTTTAAAGCGGAGGAGGGGGCCCATTATGCTTCTTACGAGCATTATTGCAATATTCCAAGTGTGTGGGACAAAAGAGGGCCTTATATTATATACAAACAGTTTTCTCATGAAAGAAGAAATAATGAGAATCGAATCCTAGAGAGAATGGACGGGAATTATACAAAACTCAATATAATATTATAAATTTATATTTATTGAATAAGTATACTTAACTTTTAACAGAACTTGGTATTATTAATAACTAAATTTATCTGCACTAATTGCTTTATTTCATAAACATGCTAAAATAAATTTTTCATTATGAATTTAGCGAAAACAATCGGCACAATCAAATGGCGAACATTACAATGTCCAATGAATCATCGTTATTATCTTAAAAAATAAAGTAACTCATACCTACTATGAGTTTTAACTTTTAACAATCAAAAGTAAAAATTAGAGAAAATAAAATAAAGATGAAAAATTAATTTGCCATTAAGATGATTTTAAAAATTGATTATAAAATTTAATTTTCATTTCATTAAACTGTCTATTGGTTAGTTTTTATTTTTCATTCATTCTTTTATATATTTTTATAATATCGATTTTTGTATAAAAAAAAAAAAAAAAACTTGCTTTAACGTTAAGGCAATTTTGTTGATTTCTACGTTGTTGGTGGAATGCGGTGGATCGTAGCCTTTTGTAGATCTTAAGTAAGGTTTCTGGAATGCTCTTACAACGAAGAATCTTATTAGATGAAAATGGAAAGAGTACCAGTAAAGTTTATGAAATTAGCTTACTTAAATTGTCTCTTCCCAACACCTTCTTCTAAGCATTAACATATCATTTAATTAATACGTAACATTAACATATAATAAATAGGTATAATGATTAAATAGTATAAATAAATGTTTAAAAAAAGATTGTTTTTTTTTTCATTAAACATTGAAAAGATAAATAAATACGCGCACGCACTAGCACAATTTTCGAAATACACATATATATTTATAAATCTCGTGTTATGCAAACATGTGCAATAGCATTTCAAGAGTCTATACGTTCAGAAAAATACCCATAAAAGAATTTACTATGTAAATAGATGCAAATCTAATATGCAAATAGATTTAAGTAGACAACGAAATATTTGGCCAGGCATTTCAATCTATATAGATATACCACTCGAAAAATAGAAACGGGCGTTTCTATAAGTAGTGTAAAGTTTTACCAGTTTTGCCAGTTTTGCAGCTTTCTCTTTAATAAGTGCCCATTAAAATCTCATCTAGAATTTAATTTACTTATAGAATTTCAATCTTTCAGCAATATTCAGTTAACTTATCGTAGCAAGTCAAATACCTTAACGTGGCACTATTTAATTATTCGAATAATAATTTAATATTTCTCTTAAATAACATTTGCATCACAATATAATTTATTTTTAATATAAATTCGTTAAAAAAGATACGATAACTTAAAAAGCTAATTTTTGTTTCTCACGATTATGTAAATAAATAAAAATATTAACTTCCGTTAAACAAAAGGTAAAACGCTAGTCCACATCGTGATACATACATATGATAAAAATTAATTGTTATTTTAATTATTGTACTTATGGTTTAGAATTAGAAAAGAAATAAGTTTCTATAGTAATACGCAAAAATAGCCAGTGCTAATTAGAAATTTATCACAATTTATATCGGTGGAGAAAAATGAAATTTTACTATATAGTCTATAATTATATTTCATATATATTCCAATGTATTATATGAATTATGAAGCTTAAAGTTGTAAAGCTTATAATAT